CTTTTCCTCGGTCGACACGAGCGACGCTGTCCGAGCATTAGCTGCCTCCTCTTCTTCTAGGCGCACAAAGCCATCGGCTCTTTCATTAAGTTCATCCATAGTAGTCGGCGTGTTCACTACCAGACTGGTGTGAAACGGAGTTCCACGTGTCATGGCTAACTTGAAGGTTTGAACTGCTGTAGAAGGGTGGCATTCGATCACCATACTCTTAGTGAGATTAAACCTGGTAAGAAAAGCCTAGAGACGTTCATCTTTGTGCTGCCTCATCGTGAATAGGCTCGAGATGTCCTTCGGTGGGCGCTTGTTCCCATAGTACTGGCTTATGAACCGATCGCACAGGTTTCTGAAGCTACCAATGGAGCTCCTAGGCAAGTTTTTGAACCAGCTGAGCGCCGGTCCGGCTAGGCTTGTAGGGAAACATTTGCATATTAAAGAGTCGTTTTCCGTATTCAGGGCCATTTTCAACTGGATATGGTACACATGATCGATCGGATCGGTTGTTCCGTCAAACAGAATAAAGACTGGCATAGCAAACTTCCTTGGATGCGGGGCATTCAAGATCTCGCCGGTGAATGGTGAATCAACCGTTCGAGCTGCGGATCGGAGAGCTTCATTCTCTCTCTGGAGTCCAGCGGTAGCTCTGTGAGTTACGGTTCTGCCCTCCGAACCGCGATGAGTGATAGTAGCCATGGAGGGCCGGTAAGACGGATCGAACGACCGTTCCTCTATGAACTCTCTTTGCCAAGGCGACGCTACTCGACGGCGATCAACCTCTATCACTTCCTCTCGGTCGAACCTTTCCCGATGCGGATCGAAGGTTATGGCTTCATTCCGTCTAATCTGCTCATGTCGCGGATCAACGTGAGTCGATCCTTCGTGATCCTCAACTCGACGAACATTTGGCAGCAAATTGTCCATCATCCTTTCATCACGGTGGTGAGCTGACTGATTGTTCTCGTCCTGCTCGCCTTGACGCGCGATATTAGATTGAACACCTCCTTCACCGACCGGAAGTGGATGCGAAACCGCAGGTATTTGCCGATGTTGCATTCCAGCTTTCAATTCTGCATTCTCTTTTTTGAGAGCTTCAATCAAGTTCATCAACTCCTCAAGCTTTGTTTGTTGGACAGCCTCCATCGGATTGGAGCTTTCACCTATCATTATTCCTGAACGGAGTAAAGGCATTAATCTCAAGTTCGCGAGTAGATCCGAGCTTCGTGAGTGGGAATTTTTCAGATCTGGTTTCGAATTCTCCGAATTATGCTCACCGTTTACGAGATCTGAGTTGTCTGAACTCTAAATCCGTCAGATCCTGCCACAATCGAACAACTCGTTGTTGCGTAGATCTGAAGCCACTTCTGCCAAAGCTTCAAGAACTGTAATTCCTCCAGAGTAGGTCACAATCGCTCAGATCTGGATCCAAATCCCAAAGATCGAGTCTCGATCAACCGAATTGGTCTGAATCCACTCGATATTCCTCATTGATCAACCAAACTTCCATGCGATTCCCACAGACGGCGCCAATTGAAGATGCAAGAAATTCATACTCTCTTTCTCTCTCTAGAATTCTTACATTTCAACAAAAAGATCTCTCCCATTCTTTCCATTCCTTCTCCTATTTATAGATATTTACAAGATATTTACAAATATTGACGGATTGCTGGATCTGGGCCTGTTCCTCCATAAGTCCTGGTCACCTTTGATGGGCTTATTCGCGTTCGGCCCATATGGCAGTGTCTTTTTATGGGCCGACCCAGCTATACGGACCGGATGTCGTGCTTGCAAGTCAGATCCGACCCATGTCGTCCTGGGCCTCCTCAGTTACTTACCCTATTCTTGGGGCAATGAGATCAAGCATTGATTCTCAATCCAAAGGGACCTTGCTACACCATCCTGTTTCAGTTCTTCAGTGGTCATTCCTGCGCGCTTTGAAAAAAATATATTATGAACTAGGTTTTGGTCGCGCTGCTAGTGCATCCTTTTGCAATACCGTCCATGGTTGCATATTGGTCTAAAGGATTATATGCATTACTTTCTCCCCTACGCCAATCCAGCTATAAGCTGCCGTATGATTTCACTGAATATGGCCGTTGCAGTCGAACATTATTTATCGTGGAGAAACAAAGACTTCTTATAAAAAAGAAAGATATCCAAGTGTTACAACAAAAGGTATGTTCAATTAAAGTTATTGACATATGTTTTGGCAAAATGTATATCCTCAATGATACCAACGGTATATCTTTATTTCAGGAAACCCCAGAAGAGGGTGGTTGGCATGATCTTGTAGCAAAGGGATGTATAGAGACACAGAGGCAGAAGAGACTACTATGATTTTCATGACAATTAATGTGAGTATCCAAGAAACAGTTTCAGTTTGGCTCAAACACCTGTCTCGAATTATTGTGTTAATCAACCGTCTCTTCAAGATATAATGGAACATTTACTAAATGTTAATGTTAATTGCTCCAGGATCTTGTAAGTGCGAGGCTTAATCCACTTATTCTGAACCTTATACCCATTGTGAAATACATCCATCGTTGATATTGGGTGTTTGTGTTTCAATTATACCATCTCCCGACCACAACCAAGTAAGTTTATCATTCTGATGACTTTTATCTGATGAAAACATATTTTCTTCCCTATCGTACTTATTTGTTATTTTTGCAATCAGTCTCCACGTCATACATATCAGTCAGCTATGGGTAAGCAAGCCATGGGAATTTATGTCACCAACTACCAATTAAGTATGGTATGAAATTGTCTTGCTCCCCTTCTTTCCCTTTTTCTCTATTTTTCTTCTAAATTTGAGCTTTTCTTATGCATATTGTCTTCTATGACGAGTTAGGATTACTTATTATTCTCTAAATCTTTCAGGACACGTTGGCCTACGTTCTCTACTATCCTCAGAAGCCTCTTGTTACTACTCGAGCCATGGAGCACTTGCACTTTAGGCAGCTACCTGCTGGCATTGTAAGTTCTTGCTTTTGTAGCAATAACTTTGGTAATGGTTCTGACAATCTTTTCTGTGTCTTCCTTTCTGATTTAGAATGCCATTGTTGCCATAGCCTGCTTCTCTGGATATAACCAAGAAGATTCTGTTGTTGTGAACTAGTCATCAGTAGATCGTGGATTCTTTCGGTCACTATTTTTCCGATCATATAGGTAATTAAATTTATATTTCTTTTCCCATAATGTTTTTGCACGTTAATTTCTTTGCTTGTTTGTAATTTCTCTTTAAGGATCAGAGATATTGCATTAATAATTTTCTTTTCTGTAGGGATGAAGAGAAGAAGATGGGGACACTTGTTAAAGAGGATTTTGGACGTCCCGATAGAGCTAATACCATGGTAAGTGCTGAGTTTGTATACTGTTGGTGCTCTCCAGCTTGTGTGAAACTGGCATTTATCTGAGGAACTGTTTTCCTGGGCATGCGACATGGTTCCTATGATAAATTGGACGACGATGGTCTTGCCCCTCCTGTGAGTTTATGCAAATTTGTTTGGTTCCACGTTCTTTCCTGCTTGATTCAAATATTCTAAAATTGAGCTATCATTCTATATTAGGGAACAAGAGTTTCAGGTGAGGATTTAATTATCGGGAAGACCACTCCTATTGCTCAGGATGGTGCTAAGGGACAAGCTTCACGTTACACAAAGTGTGATCATAGCACAAGCTTACGCCACAATGACATTGGAAGGTGGATTAGGTGTGCCTTACTTTAATTTTCTCTTCCTATCAAATTTGGCTGCTGTTGTATGTTCCATTTAGGCTAATAGACCATACAATGAATTTTATCAAGAAAGAATATTAAATCAAGTTTGTTCTTCTTTCAATGCTGAATCTGGGCTTCTTTTTATATTAATTTTCTGTTCTTGGCTTAATTTTATGGTACTTTTGTAGGTGTTACTAACAACAAATGCCGATGGGTTGAGATTTGTGAAAGTAAGGGTGAGATCTGTTCGGATACCTCAAAACGGCAATAAGTTTAGCAGTAGGCATGGTCAAAAGGGAACAGTCGGCATGACTTACATGCAAGAAGACATGCCATGGACTGTCGAAGGCATCACCCTGACATTATTGTGAATCCGCATGGTATCCCATCTCGAATGACAATTGGGCAGCTTATTGAGTGCATCGTGGGTAAAGTTGCAGCTCACGTGGGGAAGGAAGGAGATGCTACTCCCACGGATGTTACAGTGAGTTGTACTCTCTCAGAATTTTCTTCTTCTTCTTCTTCTTCTTCTTCTTCTTCTTCTTCTTCTTCTCTATCTCTTTCTCTTTTTCTCTTGATAGGTAACACAAACCACCCACTTAGTCTTAATTGGACCTAAACCCTCAACCTCATTTTTGAGAGGTGGAGGAGATGCACTTAAGCTAATGTTTGGATATACTATCTAAAAATCATGGTTCATGAGATTCTGAAATAAAAGCACTTTCGCATCTTTAAACAAGTCTATACATTTTTGTATTGGTTGGGGATAGAATGCATGGCCTCTTACATTAGTAGAGGATTTGTTAGTAAGCTCAAGAGCTCCACTTGGTGGGATGATGGTGGCAAATCCAACTAGAATAAGGTTTGTTTGGTAGAATCCATATTTGTCTGTTGGGTTGAATCCGTTGTAGAGGAAATCAATGGATTGAGAAGGCACAACATTATCAAAAAGGAGGGAGAGAAGAAGAGCTACGTAAATGGGAGCGGCCGTGGAGTTTATAAACCTACTCTTGGGGTTATGAGATCAAGCATTGATTCTCAATCCAAAGGGACCTTGCTACACCATCCTGTTTCAGTTCTTAAGTGGCCATTCGTGCACGCACTGAAAAAATATATTAAGAACTAGGTATTGGTCGCGCTGCTAGTGCATCATTTTGCAATACCGCCCATAGTTTCATATTGGTCTAAAGGATTATATGCATTACTTTCTTTCCCTGCGCCAATTAAGCTATAAGCTGCCGAAGGATCTCACTGCTAATTAAGTAACGTAGCTTCAAGCAGTACTTGAATAGCCAAGGGTCTTTTAACATGCAACTTAAAAGAAACACTAAGAATCACCTGAGTAAAATGGTTGCGAGGAATCAAGGAAAGATGGGCTGGCGAGTGGCTGTATTTGAGGAACAGAGGGCCTTCTTGCAGCCAATTGTTAGTCCGGAAGAGAGTTTCTGAACCATTTTTATCCCTGCTTTTGATTAAGAAGGGCATTGCTAAGGATCTCAGCTGAAGTAGCTTTTTCCATATCAACTGCTTTGTTGAGGTATGCTAAAATCCCCAAAATATCTCCTTCTGATTAAGTATTTTGTTTGAGTCATAGTTTGTTCTGAGTATTTGACACAAGTTTCCACGTATGTTTTAAAATTGCATCTCTGTTTTGTGTTTCCAAGCTAACAAAGCCTAAACCACCATTTCAAGTGTTGAAGTAGACTTCACTGGTGACACCACTTGACCAATGAATTGGATTGGCATAGTTTATTCGGTGTGTCTTTTCCGTTTACATAGCATAGCTCATTATTAAATAGTTTTCAAATTTAGCTTTTTCATGAATTGATCATTTGAGTTAATTAAGTCTTAAAAGGACATTCTTCTCCATTAACTGGTAATGATAAACCAAGATGACTCTGGTATTGTTAAGACACCCCAAGGAAACACCAAAATCAGCATAATAAATTTGTTATGCAGCCCCCTTGAAGCAAAGCGGTTGATGGTGATAGGTTGTATACTTTTGTTTTTGTTTTTGTTTTTTTTTTTTTTTTTTTTTTTTTAGTGCTGACGTTTTCTACCTTTGTTACATATTTGAAGTTGTCAAAATTTATATGTTTGCAGACCCATAAGAGTGAGATTCTTTATTTTAGTATTCATTTACTTGCAGCATAAAAGAAGTGGAAGCCCCATAATTGTGAGATTTGATCGAGTCAATATATCTTATGCCAAACAATTTTCTAATAAATTATAGACTAGAAGAAGAAAGGCATTATAGAAAAGGAGATTGTGTTATATATTGATCAATTTAAAGGTACACGGAAAACAATAAAAGATTAATACATAATTTTCTTTATTGAACACCCATGAATGTGATAGAAGGTGCAGGGTGCATTACATCGATCAATGTGGTTTGGGCAAGGGCAAACAAGACTACCTTAGATATAGTGAAATTGAAAATCTGCCTGAAGTAGTTGGGGTAAAAAATTGTTATGTTTAACTGAATGATGGACTTCTGATATAAAATAGTCATTGATTAGTTGCTTTAGTTGGTTGGTCAAGATAACGTATCTTAATAGTTTGACTGAAGATGGAAATTGAAGATCTTTGTGATTTTAGTGTGAAGTAGCTTTAGGTGGTTGGTTTTGTAATTTGTTTTTCCTGTGTTCCTGGGTGGTTCTTGGAAAAGCCTAATATTTTTTTTGTTAGTTTGGCTGAATTGAAATTATGGTTTTGCTTAAGATAATTGGTTAGTTGTTTTATGACTATATGGTTCTGTAACACTGGCAATCCTGGGTTGCTTTTAATGAACCTATGAGACAAAGGATGTAAAGATTCATCATTGTTTGATTGTAATTGTAATTTAAGTTTTACCAGAATCTATTGTATTTATTGGTTAGTTAATGCAATTGTATGTGGGAGATAAAATTCGGTAATTGTTTGATGGGAAGCAAAAATGAAAACAAATTTTGTGTTGGTCTGAGTTCTTCTTGCCTAAGAAGCACGGACAATTCTATGGAGCTTCCATGTTTGTGACATTTTTAGACACTTTTAGACACGTGTTTGAACTTGTCCTCGACTATAATTTCCAAATAAATTACATTAAGTCATACACTTGGCCGGTGCAGCTAAGGCACTGCCCAAGTGATTTTTGTAGCACAAATACATTTTAAAAGGAATCACATAAGACAATTTTGAAAACAAGATGACATGCCCGAATTATTCAACCTTCCTTTTTCTATGGTATACGTGGTCACCACAAATACAATTGTAATGGCAAAAATATGGTAAAAGTATAGTAGTAGTATATTTAATATAATTGTCTTTCTGACTTTAAGCCTCATCTTCCATATTATAAATTAATGGAAGTTCTACGTATTTTATATAATAAATATGCCTAGCAATGCATTTTTTCCAACTATTTAGGGTCACCATTTTATATAAATAGATATACAAACTTTGTTAGTATTCTGTTCTTTAAAAATAAATGTGATTTTAAATGTTACAAGAGAAATAAATTATTATTGTTATACTATCCATAGAGTAAATTAGTTTTGTTGATTGCTTGATTGAAAGTAGAAATAGAATTTCCTTTATGGGCTAACTTTGCTTCTTGGTCATAATGATTATGGGTGTCTTGCAGACCATCTATGCTTTGGTCAGATATATCTTAGTAAGCCAATGATGTCAGATGGAGAAACTGTGACTTTGTTTCTGAAGGCAGCGAGATTGAGGAATCTAACATACTCGGCTCCATTGTTTGTGGATGTCACTAAGAGAGTGATAAAGAAAGGGCATGATGGTGAAGAAGTAACTGAAACTCAAGATTTTACTAAAGTCTTCGTTGGGAAGGTATGTGAATTGGATTCCGAACTGATGAAAGTTTGACATCTGGGAATAGGCTCTTATGCCTCTTTGTTGTCCTTCAGGATTGACTTTCTGCTTCTTTTTTGCCATATACTTTAGGTTCCTATAATGCTCTGGTCGAGCTACTGCACATTATATCAGAATTCAGAGAAAGATTTGACGGATCTGGGAGAGTGTCCATATGATCAAGGTGGGTATTTCATTAACAATGGGAGTGAAAAGGTTCTAATTGCTTAGGAGAAGATGAGCACCAATCACGTTTGTGTTTAAGAAGAGGAAGCCAAACAAGTATGCTTATGTGGCAGAAGTCCGATCAATGGTGGACTCCCAGAACAGGCCACCCAGTAGCATTTTTGTGTGGATGCTTTCACGGACTAGTGCCAAAGGGGTATGGGCATTAAATATGGTGTTTAGGGGTGTTTTTTGGAGCACTTTTTTTATTTATTTATTTATTTTTTTTGCCTTTTGAATTCTTATGGAATTTATGAATTTTTTTTGTTGTTTTTGGGTATGTTATGTAACTGCAGGGCTCCTACCCTTCCGTACATTTGGACTGAGATTCCTATTATTATTGTGCTTCGGGCATTAGGATTTGTTGCTGACAAAGATATATTTGAGCATATTTGCTATGATTTCTCTGACACTCATGGAGTTGCTACGACCCTCCTTGGAAGAAGCATTTGTAATATAAAATCAACAGGTAACTCTCCCACTGTATTATATCATCATTTAATTTTTTTTATCTGTTATCCTTTTTTTTTTTTTTTTTTTTAACGGGTAGTTAGTGTGAGATTAGCTTTTCTTTCTGGTTTGCTCTGTATTGAATAAGCTAAACTTCAAGCAATATGAATAAATATAGCAGTTCATGTTTCCAATATGAACTAAACATAATCTTCGGGCTTGCTGGCGTTAAAATTGTTTTTACCTTTCAAAAGTAATGTCCTTTCGGTTCTAATTCATATTTGATTTTTTAGCAGCTTCAATATCTTTGTTTAGGTTTCAGCTCTTGTTTCCTAGATTGCAAATTCAGTTTCATTGTAAATGTTAGCATCCATTTGATTTCTTCTCTCTCTTTTCTGTTTTTTTTCTTTTTTTCTCACTATTCTTGTGGTGATGTGGCAGTGCGGCCTTACTGAGATGGTTATGCTTTTCTTCCCGTATTGCAGGTTGCACTGTACTACGTCGGGAAACGAGAGGCCACTGTTGGTGTCACAAATGAAAAGAGGATTAAATATGTGTTATGAATGCTGGCTGTTGTTATACACGAGTGTAAAGCTGTCTTTTGTGCTTCTTTTTTTGTTTAAGGAGAGTCTCCTGTTCATTTACTTCGTAGGTATGCCAAAGAGATCCTCCAAAAGGAAATGCTTCCTCATGTTGGTGTAGGAGAGTATTGTGAGACAAAGAAAGCTTACTATTTTGAGTAGGTTTTGTCTAATTTGAATATGTTCCTTTTTTGTGGCTTCTTAGTGATTTAGAGAGACATTAATTGCTTTTCTACCAGATATATTATTCACCAGCTTCTGCTACGTGCAATTGGACGAAGGGCGGAGGATGATAGGGATCACTATGGCAATAAGAGACTCGATCTTGCTGGTCCTTTGCTTGGTGGCCTCTTTCGAATGGTTTGTGATTGCTTTAATATTTTGGAGCTTCTATGACCATTTGAAAGTCCTTGATTTTCATTTGGGTTTTCAAAGATTTTGGGTTTCTAAAGTTTTGGTGGTTGTTTATATTACTGCAGCTAGTCAGAAAGTTAACAAGGGATGTGAGAGCTTATGCTCAGAAGGTTATTTTACATACGGAGTCTTTAATATAGTTTATATTTGATGCTTTTGCTGGTGCTTGAATGTATATAATTTTGTGCATCGTGCAGAGTGTTGACAATGGGAAGGATGTTAATCTGCAATTTGCAATTAAAGCGAAACCAATTACTAGTGGCCTTAAATACTCACTTGCTATTGGGAACCGGGGACAGGCAAATGCAGCCGGTGAATGTGCAGTATCATTTTTAAAATGTTCTCCGATTTCTATAGGTGTTAAATCGCCTAACATATGGCTCCACTTTGTCACACTTGTGAAGATTGAATTCTCCAATAGGGCGAGAAGGTATTTTAGTTTTCTCTGTCATTGTTTGTTCAATGATGCTGTTAAGGGTCTAGATTTCCCCATAAGGGCTCTCTCTCTCTCTCTCACACACACACACAGTTTCATCTATGTTGCAACTCCATTGCTTGTTTATTTTTTCTTAACCTTCAGCTTTAACTGTGTTATAAATTGCATTTACCAGGGAAACTAGCAAAACCACGGCAGTTGCACAATTCCCAATGGGGAATGATGTGCCCTGCAGAAACTCCTGAAGGACAAGTGAGTTTGCTGCATAATATAGAATTCTGCGTTATAATTTGCATCTTTTTCTACGTACATTTGTGTGTCATCTGGTGTTACATTAGGCTTGTGGACTGGTAAAGAATCTTGCACTGATGGTGTATATAACAGTTGGATCAGCAGCATATCCCATTTTGGAATTTTTGGAAGAATGGGGTACTGAGAATTTTGAGGTAGAGTATTTTGATTTTGGTATGTGTGGCTGTTATAATTTTAATAAGCTTCTTTCCTTGGTTTACAATTTTCCTTTTAATTTAGTTCAGAACAACTTTCAAAAAGAGGGCCATTTTGATTGACCATCAGAGTGTAGTATAAACTTTCACATACAAGTATCAACAGATTCACAAGGACCAACAAATCAAAAACTACGTTCTTACTTCAAATCAAAATAAAAAATATATATATGCAATTCAAAAATTTATTAATACACAATTTTGTAGCCTATAAGAATACAAAAATAGGAAGAAACTACTCTGCTAAATTATATCTTTGGATGTCTCTAGTAGCATGGATTAGGAACAACCCAAATGGGTGCTGGTTGAATCTTCTGCCAATCATCTTTATCTTCATTAATCACTTCTATACTCTGATTCTCCATGTCAAACCTGCCCGTGTCATGCCCATACATGTCATTCTCACCCAAATGATCACAATAGTAATTGTCCGTGAAGTAAATCGAATTCCCTTTACAAGATGGAAAACCCTTTGCTGAATGTGACACAGATTGATTCCGACCCAAAAACAGCACGCGATCATCGCCTATTGATGCCAGTTGTTCCCATGTTTTCTGACTGAAATCCAGCTTGTAAACATGAAATAGCTTTGTCAAGTGAGAACAAATACAGCATTGGTTCTCTTCATCAAGAAGGTCTGCCTCATGAACAACTACACCGTCCCAGCGAACATGATTCCCAATATACCTCACAATAAGCAGCAGATCACCCTTTGATTCCACTATGTAACTTTGAATGGTATAAAGATCATCTCCAAGAGAATTTTCAAATTCCACCCTTTTCTCAGGAAAAATAGGCTCAATCTGCATCTTTTTTGCAGGGACAGAATTATTGAAATCCCAGATTTCAACTGAAGCTGTTTCACCCAAAGCAATAATATGATCATGGTGAGAAATGATATCACAGTAGGCATGATCTGCACCATCCAGGGCAGTCCATTCACTGTCTCCATACTTCCAAAAGGCAAGCTTGGGATCAATTACACCATATATTACTCCTACCCAGTAGTTGTTCTTACTCTGAATTGGGTCTGATGAGAGTACAACTTTCTTAATATCCCGGACAAAGAAGCAATGAAGGCTTGTTTTGCGAACTTCAAAAAGAGGGAGTTGAATCCTAGCCCCCAAGAATGGATTGAAGATATGTGGGAATGCTTCTTGGTCCAACAAAATCAGCCACCCATGGGATGATCCTTTGCAATTACCCAAGTGTTCTGGAATATTCATCATCTGCTTGTACACTTTTTTCTCTGTAAAATTGTATAAGCAAGGGCTATTTTTTTTGCCATGATCTGGACCAGGAAGCAAGAGCAACGGTTGATCAAATAGGGGACTCTCTAGAGATGATTTTATGGCTTCTGCAACAGAGCACCAAGAACGACACACTGCTCCGGCGCTAAGCAAATCGACCACAGACAATCTGTTCAGGATTGACTTCCACAAGTTAGTGGGGAGTCCAGACCAATTCGGTGGTGGTGATGATGCTGATGTTTTTCTTCTTTTGATGCGATGACCCAAATAGGTTTTTTTGGAAATCACTGCCATGTCTATGTCTATGCTTCGAAACTCTATAGAGATTGATCACAAAATAGTTTCTTGTATGCGTATGTCTCTGTAATTTCTTGTAGACACAGATTGATCACAAAATTGTTTCTTGTATGCGTATGTCTGTAATTTCTTGTAGACAGAGGGATTGATCACAAAATAGTTTCTTGTGTGCGTATGTGTGTGTAATTTCTTGTAGACAGAGAGATTGATCAGAATAGTTTCGCACCGGCGGCCGGCTGTATTTGTTATATGTTATAGGCCGGTGTGTGTATATGTTACATGAATAGGCGGTGCGTATGTAAAGGCGGCGGTGTGCATGTTATATGTAAAGGCGGCGGTGCGTATGTTATAAAGGCGGTGTGTGTTGTGGGCCCAATTTTTGGCCCAATAGTTCCGTTTACACTCTGATTTTGCCTCACTCAAATCCAACTATATATATATATATATATACATCGCTAGGGTATTAGGTGCTTTTGCCCGACTTATCTACCGGATATTGTGTAAAGCATTCCCTTCGTATGGGTAAGGTAAAGTTCGGGCGTTCGGACTTGATCCCAGGAAATTACTTGTACTTAAAGAAAATCGAAACTTAAACTTGATAGTTAACGAGGCACCAAGCCGAGCTGACTCATTGGATTAAATTCAACCGAAAATTTTGAATAAAAATCGAACAATTATTATTTTTAATCATTTCATTTTAATATTTATATCAAATTGCTATTTTATTAATAAAAAGAAAAAATTCCAATAGCATGTTAAATTTTAGAAAACTGCAGTGAGATGCGTTTGGTGAACAAAATAAGTGCGGATAGATAATAGAGGTTTCATCCAAAAAGCGCGTTCACGAAGTTACAAATCGTAACTTTTTAAAATTGTGTTTTTAAGCGGACGTAGATTTTTTATGATATTATATTGTTTTGGACAATTTAATCCCTCTTTACTTTTATAAATACGATTTTGTCCTTAGTGTTAAAAAAATATACAAATATTATGCAAACCAATTTGTGTTGTCTAAAAACGGGAACTTGTTAGTATTGTTGTTATCATACCCTTCCCTTTAAGAAACCTATATATTAGAAATTTAGTGTCCTTCCTTATAAGGTTTCACCTATATATTAGAGATTCAAGTTATATTAGAAGTTTAGTGGAGTTTAGTTCCATAATCATCCAATTTTTTTTCATTTATCCAAAATCTATATTTATATTATTTCTTGTCCATATATATCAACATGTTTTTTAGATCAACTTCTTGAATCGGGTATATTCATGAAAAAAACAAGCAATAATTAGTAAAACTAAATTTCAATCTTGAATCCTATACAATTTGAATTTCATAAATACGAGTGCTATTGTTTTTTTTTTTTTTTTTTTTTGTAAGCAAGAAGTCATATTAAATAGAACCAAAACAAAATATACAGAGGATAGGGATACTATTAGTAAATTCGGTAGTAAAAGTGCTTTAAGCAACATTGTTACCAAACAAATTTACAAGTGCTTTAAATATAAAAATCGCTTTATAAAATACATTACCAAACGCATAACATGCTTTTTACTTACAGTAATTTTGTGACCGCTCTACTAAAAAGCTTTTATAGTTTAAAGTACATATAATACTTGATTCTCTTATGATCTTATCTAAGTTAACGACACTGACACCGTTTCATTTTTGAAGTGTTGCCATTTTTGAAAATTGAGAATCCATTCATAAATAAGTGAAAATTTTATTATATTACATGAAATTTTTTATAAAACTAATATGAAAATTTTTTTTTGGTGGAAAAATAATGTAGTGATAGCTGTTTACAAGAACCCATGATCTGATGGCCCACGGACCAGTGTGATCCAACCAGAAAGCTTTCCTTGTAGGCTCGAAAGCCCAACCCAATTTTGACCCCTAATTTCAGCTTGCATGTAGTTATAATATACATCTTTCGAATTCCACGTGGCTTGACATTATTTTGCTATGAAAAAAAATAATAATAAAAAATCATTGCACAAGAAGTTCCAAAAAAATGCCATTTAAAATATTGTAAGCTCTACCTACCATCGGGTTTGATCTTGGATTTCGAAAGATAGGAATTGTCAAGCGCTACAATGGTTCTTTGTGTAAATGTTGTGAAATAAAAAAATTTACTATAACTCTTGGTTAGTGTCATTGGAAGTTAAAAATCAAGCATATTTTATTTTTAAAAGTAGCATGAGGTTAATTGAACGCGATAAAATTCGCTGACGAGATTTACTATTGCATTCAAATGATCAACATAAAGATACTTAACTCTGTTTGAGGGTACTCTCCTTTTTCCTAATAATAAGGGGAATTTTGACCGAGTTGTCACTCACTAGCTTACGAAAGAAGAAGCATTATTTTTACCTAAAAAAAAAAAAGAAAAAAGAAAGCATTATTCTTGATTTTTTTTTATTTTATAATTATTTATTGATTCTCAATGTGTAACAAACCAAGTCCACATCAAACGCCTTTTCTCCTAATCTCTTGAATTTTGAAAATCCCCCGAAGTATGTGTCTTAAAAACCATAAATGATGTAAATGTTGTGTACAAATTTTGAATTTGAAAATTAAGAATTAGTAAATGGAACAAATATTCTATTTTCACTGTGTATGGAAATAAATCACAAAATCTATGTGATGTGATAAAATTAAAGAACCATACAATAATTTTTCACTATGTGTATATAAAATTTGGGTTAAAATCATAAAACCCCCATGTTATTTCCAAATTCTTCATATAACCCCCTCAATTATAAAAAAAACTCCCTGAAGTAAGAGAATCTATCACGTTGACCCCATTTTGTGACGGAACCGTTAAGTTGTTGCGAAATGATAATAATGTCATTGTCAATATATTAATTATTTATTAGGTAAAATTGTTGATTTTAAATGGCAAGTTTGACATTTGTGTGAAACGACGTCGTGTGAGGTGATACACACTCCCTCTCTATTAAAACACTCTTTCTAATAAAACGATTTGTGTCCTA